GTATTTCCACAGGGAAAAGATCTTTGATACTAGATGCTATATAGTCTAGCAGACAATTGTATAATGAGATTCAATGGCTGGAAGTTGGTTAGAAAAATTCAGATGGGAAATAAGACGTACATTTTTAACAGTGAGATCAATTAACCATTGAAACAGAGTACAAAGGATTGTAGTAAATTCTCCACCAAGTGGAATTGTTAAATCAAAATTGGATATCTTTCTGAAACATATGGGATGGTTCCATTACAGGTAATCAAGCTTGATGCAGGAATCATTAGGGGACATTCTATGGCTTGTATTATGCAGAAAGTTACGCTAAATGATCATAATGGTACCTTAAAATTTATGAATTGCATGTTGATTAAATCTGTATGATGTCTAAATAAAACTACATTTATGAACTTGTCAGCCACAATAGAAACCTGAGAGAGATCATTTTCTGCTGTATGATGTGTGAGTACATTGTTACTTCTGTCATTCATACTATACATAAATAGTTTCCTATAGAGATAATGGATTATATTTCAGCAAGTCTCATCTAAAGATAGTGATGTAAAAACAAATGGGAAAACACAAAGGTTAATGGAATTCTCAACTATATTATTTCCACTACATTACTTAAGATTCACACTGCAATGTAAGCTACAGCCACTGTACTTTGTTTAAAAAAATTAATACATACGAGATTGGGATGGTTAGTTAACATTTGTTGCCCCATATATTTATTTATATAGCGCCACAGGTGGAAACAGACAGGAAGACAAAATCTCTGCAGCAAGGAGCTAACAATCAAAAGGCCTGGATTCTGCACCCTTTCCTCAGCAGAGAGTAGCACTTTTCCCTTACAAGTGGTCCCATTGCCAATGAGTAAGTACTACTCAACATGGGGGAACAGTGCAGAATCAATCCCTCAATGAGATATAGGCACTCAACATTTTCCCCCTAAACAGAAAAAAAAAAAAAATGGACCAGGTGCCAGAGTGGGAGCACATAGCATCGGAGAGATAATGGGTGATGGAACGCTAAAGAGGTAGGAGTGAATTTTAAGAAGGGATCTGACAGATGATGGCTGTTCAAATGTAAAAGCTGGTTTGAACTAAGTTCTGGTGTTCTTGCTTCTGTGTTGGCTTTTTTGGCGGGGGGAAGCACATGCTTCAGTGGAGCTTTTGCCAGCTGTCAGCTTGTTTCCACATATACAATAACTACATCCTGGGATTGTGACTGCATTTAAATTGCCTGAGACTTCCTTTGATTTGGCATAATTATTCAAGTGGTTTTAGTTTTCTTTTTCCTCACAGTGTGATGTAATTTCACTTCCAAGCATCAGTGTGTAGTCAATACTCAAGTGCTCAGATACTACAGAGAGGAGTGCCACAAGTGCCCATGAGAACATCATAAAAGTAGGATAAATAAATTAATGCAACTATTTTGTATGTGTCCCTTATACACATCACAGTTTTAATCTTATATAACTAAGCACGTTTGCAGTGCCATTTGATTGCAGCTTTAGTATCACTTCCATACTTGACTTTCCTTTCTAAGTTTATCTCACTGTTGGTTATAAAAGTGTCTGAAAAAAGGGGGTTTATACTTCAAGTGCTGACATGATGAGTACTGTGTATAGCAACAGGGTTATGTGGCTAATGTTGTAGACTACTGTTGGAAAGATATTTGTCACTATAGATTTTGCTTGTCATATGCAGAGATGACATGCAGATCTCCCCTTTGAAAGATGGATAGTCATTCTGAGATCCATCCACCCACAAAAACCACAAACATGCTGCTTTACTCAAATCTTTACTTTAACCACTACTTTGTGATGCAAAACTGGTGGAGTTTTTGGTACTTTTTGTTTAAAATGAAATCTTTCTAGGGGTTTTCCAGCATCTTTGCTATTTGCTAAAAACAAATCAGCATTGTACTATGGCATGGGACAAGAACACAGTTCAGTTTACTTTTAGACATGTTTGACATTTATTAAATTACAATACTGAGTCTGAAGAAAGCTGGATAAGGTAGTTAAAAATATCAGACTCAAAGATCTCTCACCTCTTTGCAATATTTAGCACTTATTTCACCAATACAAATGTCAGCTTCACATTTGTGGAGTATTTGCACTATTTCTACTCTAAGAATCATCCTATCATGATTTGGTATCAGTCATATCTTTAAAAGATTAACAACATGGTTATTTCATTTGTAAATGCAAATACTTGATGTTAAGCATTAAGGTTGTACAGTTAAGCTCTTAAAAGTCAGGAAATACACAAGTTAAGGTGTATACACTGCAGAGTTTAGGAAACCAGTCCCATGATGATCAAAACAACATAGTCTCATTTTAAAAAATAAATTCAATGTTAGAATCTTCAAAGTTTCCGTGTGTCATACTGCCGCATCTACTTTTAATGACCATTTTGGACATTTTTGCAGGTGATACATTTTATGCATAAGTCTTTTAATGTACCATTTTAGGCATGTTATAAGGCCTGGTCTACACTAACCCCCCAATTCGAACTAAGGTACGCAACTTCAGCTACGTGAATAACATAGCTGAAGTCGACGTACCTTAGTTCGAACTTACCGCGGTCCAGACGCGGCAGGCAGGCTCCCCCGTCGACTCCGCGTACTCCTCGTGCCGAGCAGGATTACCAGAGTCGACGGCGAGCACTTCTGGGTTCGATTTATCGCGTCCAGACAAGACGCGATAAATCGAACCCAGAAGTTTGATTGCCTGCCGCCGAACCAGCGCGGTAAGTATAGACAAGCCCTAAGTGTCTGGAAAAATTAAAGAATTGTTAGTAGGACCATGGAACAGAGAAAACACAGGGCAGTGTCTTCAGATGCTTATCTTTTAAACGTAAAAGGAAAAGTACTCCAAATAAGTTTCTCTTGTTCAAAAACACAATAGGCAATTTTAAAAAAACCTATTAAGTATGTGTGTAGGAGCATTTCCCAGTCTTGGAGACAAGCTGAATTGTTATGTGGAGCTATATTATGACTTGACTGACAAAGTATCAATCAAGACTCCATTATATAACAAGGTATCCATCACACAAGCTCTACTGAGAGTCCCTGCAGTGAGCACACAGACCGTAATCCAAGTTTCTTTGTCCTGTTCTGTGCCAATTTGCTGTAAAATGATAAGTCTAGACTGTCTTTGTAGCAATCATAGGACCACTGCATTACAACTATATTTTCTAAACATTTTTGCATTGTCTTGATTAGCATGTCACCTGCGTCATTAGTGAAGAAAATTCTCAGCCAGCAATTCAGCCATTGATGCAAAGTGAAAAATAAGTGGAGATACCTCACCTCTATAACTTTCCATTATTAGTAAAACTAGCAGATTCTTTGTTCCTCTTCAGGAAATCATGTTCAGGTTAGCCACAGACAGTTATTTTAAGACAAATTATTATACCCCCAAACTTTAAAAGATGGGAATCTCATTTTAAAAGTCCTATGAATCTGAGAAATGTGGTGTGCAGATAGGACTGGGAGGCAGATTAGAATTTGAGAGTTCTTAATTCTTTAACTAACTACCCTCTGTAAGCTGCATCAAGTCACTTACTTTTCAGCTACGGAAAGTGAGGTAGAGAGATTAATACTTGCCTCTCACAGGGGTTGAGGGGAGTAGGTTGCACCTTCTTCTTGGTTTCCCCTCATTAAGTTGTTCACACCCAAACAAAATGGAACTCCTATAAAACTAGTCAAGCTCTTTCTCCTATAGATTGAGTGGGGGGAAGACTTTTTTTTTTATATGTTTGAAAAATATTTAGGAGGTACTTAGAAAGTCTGGTGTCATCTAATGTCCTAAATAAAATATATAAACTGCTATAGAAATATTTAAAGTTTTAAACAGCATCTCCCTTCTCTCTTCCCCAATTACCTACCAGTCAGTGAGATGGAAACAAAGTTGTGGGGCTCATATTATTTACTCATTGAGGAAAAACATAGGCTTGGCTTTATACACATTAAGAAGGAAGGCAGAGTCTCTGTCCTTTACTTCTGTACTCACATTAGGGCTGTGGTTTGGCAGTAGTAGTTTTGTTCCTGGAAGTTACCTTTTGCTGTTAAGTTATTCCACTAAATTAAAAAAAATTACATACCAACTCCACACCTTTTCCAGGATTTCATATACCGGATAATGGTTCATTTCAGATCTGTCTTTAGGAAGGGTTATCATACGGTTAGAAAAATTTTTACGAGCTAGACAGTAAGTCTCATAGGTCTTCTAATGTATAGACGTGTAAGAGTCTTGAAGTTGTCACTCCCCCCTTGGATCCCAAAACTGAATCCCAGATTAAAGATATGATCAAGCATCTTGGGTTAAAAGCATTGATGGCACCTGTTTTTAGAGTTGGAGGAATTTTTCCTTATCATTTACAGTCCATGATATGCAAATAGTGCTTTAGGTCTTCTCTAGTAAGTTGCACAATCAGCTTTTGTTGGATACAAAAGATTAACAGCACATAAATGTTGCACTTAAAGGTTCTCAGTTTATCTCTTTATGAAGTTCAGGTAGGCATGATCTGAAAAATTTGAATCAGGAGTTGGAATCCCCTTAAACTTGGCTGTGATTGGAGCTGGGAGGTTTTTTTGGTCCCATTTCTATTATTTATTTGTACTGTGGTAATGCCTAGAAGCCCCAGTCATTGTTACGGCCAGGATCCAGCACCACTGAAGTAAATGGGAGTTTTGCCACTGACATCAAGGAGGTGACCTTTTCCCTTCTGTTTTTTTTCCCCACACGGGAGAAGCGTGAGAATAAGGAACACAAGACACAAAGAAATTCAGGAGAGGAAGACTAACTTGATTCTTTCATTGATTGATTCAGTTGCGATGTGGGGGGAGAATGACAAATATTACTGGATGGAATATCCACTAGAGCAATAAATAATCAAAGTACCAAAAGACTTGGTGCATACCAAGTGCTCATTTGCAAAACTAAACATTAAAAGAAAATAGCTGACAGTGTTTATTTTTTGGGGGGAGGGGAGAATGAAGGGCAGAAAGTAAAACGAAGCTGTTGGTATACTTGAGAAATTAAAAAAAATTCAAGTCATAAAAATATTTCTGGTTACAGTGGTATTAATCAGGATTCCCTCCCCCCTGTTCATTGCAAATTATGATATTTCATTATGACTTCGAGCAGTGGTTCCTACCCTTTGCAGACAACTATCTTTTTACGACATTGAGAACCTATTAATTGTACCACAGCTAGTTCCTGCTGCCTCCCAGTCAAGTGTGTGCACTCTGATCTGTAGTGATTGCTCTTGAGAGCACTGTGCTTGGGTTTGGAGTGTGTTTTAAGCTCTGTTGCAGGTTTCAGCTTGCACGGGGTGGACAGAACAATTGCTGGGACATAGGCTCCCTATCCTTGCTCTGATGAAGAGCCTCTGAGCTAAGGCATCTATCATAAAACCTTGAGAACCATCCCTAGAGAGATTTATAGAACACTTGTAGCTTCCACTGTCAAAGGCCAATTATTTGCTCTGTTAATAAAAGATCACCCCCTCAATGGCTCATTTCAGCATTCTAAGAACATTCTTACCTTTTCAAGTATTCTAGCTACCCAATTGTGTGGTTTTCATGTAGAGGAATGTTAGCCTAATAAAAGGAACATGGATTAGGATAGCAGGTTTAACTAATACAATTCCATGGGAAGGGAACAAACTACCAGCAGTCTGTCAACCGTACAGTATTATTCTGCATGATTTATTTAAATATTTCTATTTATGCATTTACAGACTTTCGTAGCTTTCCATCCATAACTCTGCTGTTGTTTTAGACACTATTGCAGAGGAATTTTAGCTATTGTAAAAGGAGGTCCATGTACAAAACTAGGTGACAGATATAAAAAAAGAGATTCCTTTCAGATTTTTCATACCAGGAACAAAAGTGACCAAATGGAGGGAAAACACAAACTCAACCCCAAACAAGAGGCTCTTTCATAAGTACTACCTATGTCAGTGCTCAACTACAAGTCCTAAAATAGGATAGTTCATACTTCAATGCTGCAATGCATGTTTGTTAATACTCCTGGATGGGAATGTGCGTCTCTAATGAACAAACCGAAAAAGAAAAGGCTACATGGGGAATGTTAAGTTCAGAAACCATCATTTATGGATTCTAAATGGTATGGCACAAAACTCTAAGAAATTACACTGATTTACCAGCAGTGTATTTTCATCCCAAACTTAATTTTGCATAAAAAGTTCCCTTTAAGAAATTTGTTGAATTGTTCGAAAACTAACATTTGAGCTTCTGGGCCCCTCTGTATTTAAGAAATAAATCACTTGAAACACCCCTCATAATCTGGAGGCTTCCAAAGAATATTTAAGAACCAAAAAAAATTTTTTTTTTTAATTTATACCAATTTAACAGCTCAGATTCCCTGGGAGGAAGAGGCAGCCAGATATGGCATTTCAGGATATTTACATGCATGGTACAAAAATGCCCAGGGGTATGAAACACCAGGAATACAGTTTGGCAGCACCCTCATTTACACCTGTAATTTTAAACTATTTATTACATTGTACTAACACACCAGATTCAAAGATGTGCACTCCCTTTAGGATGTTCAGGAGTTACCAGTATATTGTGATTGCATATTTAATATTGCACAATTGTATAAAAACATAAATACTAGCTATTCTCGTTTTTAAATACAAAATACAAGTCACATACTTTAGTCAATCCTTTTCAAGTGCAATTCAAGGGGTCTCTATGGTCCTTCCAATAAAAGGCAATTTTCATACTTTTGGCACAAGTATTACCCCCATCACATGCCAACAAGATCTAATTACAATACATATGCCCAGATTTTTATAGTAGCAGTCATATACATACATATAAAAACAGGGTATTTACAAAATGAACTAATCATACATAGAAGCAGCCTTAGTGGTTGAATCTGAACTCTTGTTTAGCCTTATTCATGGTGTTTTGAGAGGGATCTGCGACCCTTTTGATTTATGCTGGTTGCTGTGGGTTCACATTCACGGGAGGAGGATGTCCTAGGAGACCAATACGCTGTTTCTGCTTCCTCTGTTCTGTCATCTGGAAAATTAAAAAGTTTGCTCATTAGACCGAGACACTTCCTGTACGTCAGCTCACAGAATGAACCATTGGTGTATTTGTGGTTAGGGTTTATTCTGAAATCCACTTTCTACAAATAATGCACTTCCGGCTGCTATGCCAAACATGAATAGATTAAAAAGGCAATCATAGCCCCTGTTTTGTGAACCCAGCAGGGATATCTGTGAACCTGCTCATGTGACTAAGTATTCAGAGATGACGGATGCTGTTTTGCAAGAAAAATGTTATATGAAGGGCCACATTACTGGCACGAAAAAACCTAGATGGTAGCTTTCAAAAACTTCTTGTGTGGATAATTCTCTGTAGACTTCCCACTATTTCCACAATCTATTTGGGGAAAGTAGGAGTACTGTATGTTGGGAGAATCCATCTCAGTCTGGAAATATCTAACTGTTTGTGGAAATTCATTTCAATACCCCAGCTCTTGGGTAACAAGAATGCAAACATCCCTCCTGATTTGCCACAGCCCAGATATGAGGCAATAATGCAAAATAAGGGACACAGGAGCAAAACTACATATTTTTCCACAAAACATTTTCTGTAACCTCAGTCCCAAAATTCTGGATGTTTGCCAATAATAATTTACATCAAATGTAATACCACCACAAATTTGAGAGGGAAGAAGGTATACGATCTAAAGAGTGACACTCCTAATAGAGAAGCATATCCCTTCATTATTATGATGCAGAGCACTGCAAAGCAGCCATCATCCATGTTTCTTTGCATTCAGCCCCTCCCAACACCTTGTTAGAAATCTGCTAAGGTCTGAAAGTCTGAGAGAACGAACACACCAATTTAATCAGTAACACTGGCATTTCTGTGGTCCCCATCATTCTAGTATATGAGTATTTCATGAACATTAATGAATTTAGCCTCACATCACCCCTGTGAAATAGGTAAGTATCTCCATTTTACAGAAACTGAAGCAGAAAGAGATATAGGGTGCGTTTACAGGGCAATTAAAAACCCACAGCTGGCTGTGTCAGCTGACTTGGGCTTGCAGGATTCGAGTTCAGGCCAAACGTCTACACTGCAATTAAACAGACCCCTTAGCCTGAGCCCTGCGAGCTGCCATGGGCCAGCTGTGGATTTTTAATTGCAGTGTAGACAAACTCGTAGGGCTTGATTTTCAAAGGTGCTGAGATGTAAATGCTCAGCACTTCTGAACAGCAGGCCTGAAGAAACTTGCCCAAAGTCACACAGGATATCTTTGGCAGAGAGTAGAACTCAGGCTCCCCAACTCCAGTTGATTCTTCCTTTGATAACATAGGTACTGTTCAGCCTCCATCACATTACCATCACAATGGCTGCAAATTCCAAGACTTACATAAAAGTGCTGAGACCCAACCTTCTTACTGCTCACCCCCCATGGCATTACTTGGTCAACACACAAAAGGGCTGCAATCTTGTTCCATTTTTATTGCTTCTTCCCCTGGACTGAGCATACTGAGACTTGATACAAATAAATGGAGCCAGGCTACCATGCATCTGTCAACTTAGAATTTTTTATCAATACTCCTTCTGTTCTGTTTTCAGAGTTACTTTAATATAATAAACATTTACATTGAATAGCAAGTTGTAAGAAACCAGTCTCTAGATATTGCTCTGACTACCAAAATTTAGCATCCGAACCAGATACAGCTTATACAATAATTTTTCATTAAAAAGTTGAGCTACAATGTGAATTTCTACCATTTTTCATATCCTACGAATTGTTATTGGCCCTTGTTTTGGCTTAGAATTCATTTGAACCAAATAGTGTTTTTTCTATCATATCTATATTCATGCAAGGACCTAAGATTACTAATCAGTGTAATTCTTCGTTTTTGGGACATTTCACTCCAAATACTGACTAACATAATTGATAGGGAGAGTAAATCAATGCCAAGATAACAGATAGCCTGTTTGCATTTTCAGCTCTCTACCAGTAAACACACTTGAACAGATTTACATAAAATCTATATGTTCAGAGACTGAATAAATTCCCCCTTTCTAAGGTCAGGAATTGAATAATTAAGTTTGGAGTTTGCCATGCACTGGATTGCCGTGAACAATCTTCGGAATGATCCTTTTACTACCACCTTTCATTAGAGGACTGAAAAGTATTTTAAACACCATTAATTAATCTAATCACCTCCATGATGTACATATCTGTAAATATGCTCCTTTAACCAATGGGTAAAGGTCTCAATCTTACTTTCATGGAAGGACATGGATTCAAATGGAGCTGAATCATGTTGTGTCTTTCTCAATGTCACACCAAAGGAGTGGAGCAGCACCCAAGCCCTAGCTCAGTTCCCCTATTCTAACCCCTAGATTTCCTAATGCTATATGGGGTTTGAAATTTGTGTTATTTTTGAAAATATAATTAACTACTTAATACGAACGGAGAAAACCTATTTGTAGGTTTTATTTCCATTATTCTGTTATTTCCACTGGACAAATCAATAACATATATGCTTTCAGAGGGGGCAAGGTTTTCAGTAGCAATTGGATTCAAACAATTAGATATGAAGGAGGCACACAAAATGGTAAAATAATGAGGAAAGGATAGCAGTTGACAAACAGAATGCTAAATTTTGATATAAGTTTAGTTAACAAGAGGAATTTATTTTTTTAAGAAAGCGTAAGCTGACTAAATGCAAGTTGAAAACAAAATGATACCTAGATGCAGAATCACATTGTTCTAGTAGGGCGTTTGGAAGCGTCAAAGACCCCATGGAGCAATTTTTGTCTTGATCATCACACTTAACTGGAGTGTGAGTTACTTTTGTAGCTTATCAGAGGGGTAGCCGTGTTAGTCTGAATCTGTAAAAGGCAACAGAGGGTCCTGTGGCACCTTTAAGACTAACAGAAGTATTGGGAGCATAAGCTTTCGTGGGTAAGAACCTCACTTCAGATGCAAAGCTTCTTTGTAGCTTGTTGCTTTAATGCCTTTTGGAAGTGCTTCATACTCATTTACAGTAATGAATTAAAAATGGTCAGATTTTCATTTGTTCCTGGTGCATTTTTATTTTATTTCAAAGCCATTTTCAAAGTGGACACACACAATTTCAGTTTTAATGACAGTTATAATCCCCAGAAACTTGTAGGATCACTCAGATCACAAAGCAAATGAATGAAAGATTTGCCCTTTATTTGATTCAGAACAATCCCTGAGCTAGCTCCTCTTCCTGGAGACGGTTCTTCCTAATATGATGGAGAGATGTACTGGTTTCGTCTCATAATTGGAGCATCCTGCAACTTAAGCAGGGTTATCTCAGTGACAGTACTTAGGGGAATTCCTAAGAGCTATCACATTAATGAAGCTGGTTTCCTCTTCTGCCTTTGCAGTGAAGTAGCTATCTAAAAGCTCATTTTCACAAAGAACAAGGGAAGGTTCTTAGTGCTTGGGCAGTGGAAAGTTGCAAGCTTTAGAAATAAATACATTTGGGGCATGATCCAAGGCCTGATTGAAATTGATGAAAGAATCCTATTGACTGCAGTGGGTATGAGTCAGACCCTCTAACAGGAAGACCTACGTCACGTGTTTAAGATAATTGTTTCCAGGCAAAGTGGCATGACAGCTACCCAATGAGTATATTAAGGCATAGATAAGAGAGGATTTGGTTTGGAGAGAAACATTACGGAAAGTAGCAAAATCCTGGAGCTCCAGATAAGATCATTGCAATTATAGAAGCTATTTATGAAGACTTCTGCAGTGCCATAATTGGTGAAAAATTAAGCAACTGGGTCAAGTCAAAGTGTGGTGTAAGACAAGGAGGCATGGAATCACCATCACTTTTCATCATGTTCTTAAACTGGACACTAAATGTTAGACCAGTTGGAGGGCTGGAGATTGGATGATCTAGAGTTAAATTTGTAAACCTATGCAGATGATGTTGTGCAACTGGCAGACACATTTGAACTGATAATATTCTTTGCTACCTTGGAAAATTGCTGCAGTCGACTTGGACTTGGACAATAAATGCTCAGACGAAAAAGTGGTTGCATCTTGGAAAAGGGATAATAAATAAAGTGTTGATAGAACAAGTAGAATCTTAGGTGTACCTAGGAAGTTTGATCAGTGCCAATGGTTGCATCAAACACAAGGTTAAAAGGAGATGTGACTTAGCTACAAAATTATGGACTGATGAAAATATACATTTGGCACCAAGTGAAAATTTATTAGACTACTGTATTAAGAGTATTACTGTATGGCAATACATTCAAAAGCATCTGGCAGTCTGGATTTGACCCAGGGTCCACCTATTGACTACCCATCACCACCAGAAGAGCAGAGCACAGAGTGGAAAAAAAGGACGACAAGCATCTCAGCCAATAGCCTCTTGCAAAGACTAACTACTTTATCAATGTAAATTTACTAGCTCAGAGAACACATTCATGATAGTAGATTCCTTTGCTGGGTTTTCCTATCCTGCTCGCACAGTGTTCTGCTTTGAAACTACAAAGCAAGTATATAATAAAATAGTTCCGTTAAAAACCAGCAACATTTTAATTCGCTTCCTACTCTGTGCTCAATTACATATGTTTTTCCTAGCCAGCCTGCTGGCAAGAGTATGTCCCATGCACCATAAAACCTTCAGTTGTAACTCTAGCTGCAGTACATGGAGACCTGAACAACAGGAATTTTGCCAGTTAGGAAGACTGTGTAAAAGCCTGGTGCAGGTTCTAGATTTGTGCCAGGCAGGTAGTATATTTCCGGAAGGATAACATTCTATTTCTAATATAGATTAGGTTTGGATTATAATAGTTGCTTCCTGCAGCATGGTGCATCTCATTTAATTCAAAGTGGAACTAATCCCAGTTTAAAATGGGAATCACAATAATAGAAACATCCCTAGGAAGAGGCTCAGTGGCAACAACCAATCAGTTTAATATTGGAGAAAGTTGTCAACCATTTTACAGTAGGAAAAAATCAAAAGTTGAAGAGATAATGAGCCAAATTCAGTGACTACTTG